CTTTTGTAAGATTCAGATAGTCATGAATTCATTCTACATTGGAGTTTACATGACTACAGTGTGATTTTTCATAATGTGTGCTTACGATGGGAAAATGAAATCTGTATTGGAACTGGGTAGTGTGAAGCAGGTGTGCTTCCCCCTAAAAGAGCAATATGGGAAACTGATGAAAAATAATCTGGAGAATAGTGGAAACTTAATTCCATCTAACCTTTTCCTAGAAACATGCCATAGCTTAGCCTGTGTTTGATTCCTAATAATCAAACTCATTTACTACTTAAAGTATAGAAAAATACAAGACACTCTCATAATCACTTGCATAATTCCAGTAAATCAGATTATATGTACTCTGTGAAAAGTACATTTTTGATCATGAGATTTCTTCCTCTGAAAATGACAAGAGAGTCTGGGCAGAGACCCACTTATCTCTTGTCCCTAGAAGGTTCTGGATATTTCTGTGTGTGGCACCAATATTTACTCCATTCCTCCTATTAAATGGAAAGGGTGTTTGTGGGTCTTGCCCCAGACACCACCATTGGAAAAGTTCTTCTTTTGGTACACTGCTCATGTACCAAATCTGAGATCCCTTTTTTTTTTAATTTTTTTTAAAGATTTTATTTATTTATTTGACAGAGAGAGACACAGCGAGAAAGGGAACACAAGTAGGGGGAGGGGGAGAGGGAGCAGAAGGCTTCCCGCCGAGCAGGGAGCCCAATGTGGGGCTTGATCTCAGGACCCCGGAATCATGACCTGAGATGCTTAACGACTGAGCCACCCAGGCACCCCTGGAGATCCCCTTCATATCAGTTCAAAAGACCTTGGTGAAGCTGGGAAGGTTATAAATTCTGATGGATGCCAACCAGTAACCCAAAGGCAGACAGAAAGGGCCTTGGTCTTTCCTTTACCCAAGGCTTATTTCCTTGGATGGGAATAATAGACCAGGAAAAAGCAATATGCAACCCTATCCACAGTGATTGTGGCCACCCCCTTTAACGCTCCTCTTCAAGCATCTGAATACCAACAAATGCTAACTGATGGCCTGGCAGAAGTTGTCCTACAAAACAGACGGGCACTTGATATCTTAATGGCCCTACAAAGAGGCACTAGTACCCTATTAGAAGAATGTTGTTTTGATGTTAATCAATCTGGCAAAATAACACAAGAACTAAAAACTATAAAGCATAATGACAACTTAGCTGAGGAAGGACACATGCCAAGACTAGGACATTATTTCAATCTCTTTAGTTGGTTACCATCAGGAATAGGATCATAGTTAAGAATGATAGCACAAACAATACTACTATTAATCTTAATCAAGTGCCTACTAAAAACAGTAACCTCTGGTATAACTTGTCCAAGTGTACAGCTTATGTTTGCACTGATGACCATGTTAGATGCTTTTCATCAGGATGGATTTTATGGACCAGAAGAATTGGAGAAATTTGTTGTTGGTTTTTATAGGATACCCCACCAAGGGACTAGATGGAACCAGAGCAGGTGATGAAACCACTCTTGCCTTGAAAAACTAATGTTACTCCATGGGTGTCTTCTGTAGAGAACTGTGAGCAAAGGGAGAAAAATATGAAAAGAGTTGCCAATGATGACTCCATTTTTGTACTTTGGACTTGATCTTGTTAAAATATGATTTTGTACTGGCCTTGCTGACTTGCAAACAATTGACAGAGTTTTATTCCTTAGATCTGCTCTATAAAACTGATAAATTTACTGAGCCCTTATATATTTAGCAATCAAACATTCTTTTTTTTTTTAAAGATTTATTTATTTATTTGAGAGAGAGAATGAGAGAGAGAAAGCACGAGAGGGGGGAGGGTCAGAGGGAGAAGCAGACTCCCCGCTGAGCAGGGAGCCCGATGCGGGACTCGATCCCAGGACTCCAGGATCACGACCTGAGCCGAAGGCAGTCGCCCAACCAACTGAACCACCCAGGTGCCCAGCAATCAAACATTCTTAACAATTTCATATATTAATGCTTATTGTCCGCAAGGTTTTTAGACTATTATTATTGCTAATTGCTCTTTTATGCTTATCACCTTGCTAAGAAAGTTCCATCCAAAACCTCTACAGGCATCTGATTATGGTCACTCCACAGACTGATTCACCTGAACCTCCAGGTGGCTTAATAAGGCCCCTGATGAGGACATTACCTAAGAATCATTTCCTGCCTCCTTGTTTCTCACCGGGGCCTGACCCTAACAACAGTGACCCCTTGAAACACTCATTAAAATTAAAAATTCCCCCCAATGTGAGACACGACTTCCAGGGACAGGTCCATCCCAGTGACACAGGACTAAATAATTATTGGTTGATCAGTGATGTTTTCAGAGAAAGATCTTGAGCAAAAGGCAGAAAGGTAAAATGCAATGGCGTCATTTATGTCCAGGGTTTTTAAAAATGGAGCTGTGAAACCATTAAGGAGATGAGACTTATGCATGTTCTCACTGTAAGAACCATGAACTTTTGAACTGGGCCAAACTGCAAATACTCCAGGGACTTAGCCCAAACACCTGCAACTTGCTATAGTAGGAGACTCTGATTAGTGACAGCCTTAGCAACCAATTATATCCAGTCAAGATTAGTTTTCTGCCATCAACACCAATCAAATTCTTTGTAAATAACATATTCAAGCATTCCCTTTTGTCTTTAAAAACCACTGACTTCTGGAGTGCTTGGGTGGCTTTGCTGGTTAAGCATCCAATTCTTGATTTTGGCTGAGGTCATGATCTCAGGGTTGTGAGATCGAGCCCCACATCAGGCTCTGTGTTGGGCACAGAGCCTGCCTAGGATTCTCTCTCTCTCTCTCTCTCTCCCTCTCCCCTCCGCTCTCTCTCCCTCTGTAAACAACAGCAACAACAACAGGTATTCATCATGGGGTAAATTTCCCTTTTCAAAAGAAAACATCACAGACAAATTAGAAGTGGCTCTTTTGTCATTTAGAGTGATTATGAATTCATCATTTAGAATACTTTCGCTAAGTTCTTACAGTACTCTGAACCTCTATCATGTCACTTTCCAGAATCCATTCAATTAATCTATTTACGTGTCTCATCTACCATTGCCATCCCCAATTAGACCATAAAGTATTCTGGGAACAGGCCATACGTATTTCACTTTTTTTTTTTTTTACCTAGTACACAGCATATAGCATGTAATAGATCTCAACAGGTTTACTGAATTTAATAACAAGGTGTCTCTGTACTATCCCCATTTGCTCATTGTTTTTATGCCAGAACGTCTTCCTGAAAAGAAAGGAAACGCACCACCTGTCAAGGAGCTCCTTCCACTTTTTGGCAATTATGTTAAATTTCTCATCAAAGAGAACCCAAGTGTATCTGTCTGACTATTCTATTCATGTGTTCTAAGGCTGACCCTCAGGGCCACAGAGAACAAATATAATCAATTGTTTTAATCAACAGTTTCAATTATTCATTACAATTCTGACAATGATTACAATTTGAAGGTTTTCCAATACCACCAAGCAATTTTCTGACACCAGCTGAGGGTTCTACACTTTAACTTAATTCTGACACTGTCCACCTAGAGATAGTATGAGATTCCACAGGTTAAGGACCGAGTCCTGCAAGACTACATCCCTCCCCACCACACCTCCACTTCAGAGGCACTAATCAGTGCTTCTGACCTACCAGCTAGAGATCCCATAAACCAGAGGTTCCAACAACCTCCTACTTGGATTCCATTAATTTGCTAAAGTGGCTCACAGAGCTTAGAGAAACAGTTTCTCTGCTAGATTACTAGTTTATTATAAAAGTACACAATTTAGGAACAGGCAGATGAAAGGGATGCATAAGGCAAACTATATGGAAAAGGGCGCAGAGCTTCCATGGTCTCTGAGCGTACCATTCATGCAGCACCTCCACATGCTCACCAACCTGAAGCTTTCTGAACACCTTTTTCAGGTTTTATGGTGGCTTCATTATATAGGCACAAGTGATTAAATCACTGGTCACTTCTAACCCTCAAATCACAGGGCTGGTTCCCCCAGCAACCAGTCTTCACTTAGATTCCCAGGAAGCTTTCCATTAAGTCACCTCTTTAACGTAACAAAGACACCTTTGTAACTCTCAGCACTTAGAAAATTCCAAGGGTTTTAGAAACTCAGTGCCAGAAACTAGAATAAGACCAAATATATATTCCTTATTATAAATCACATTCATTCAATACACACCAAACTAAGTGTTTAGCACTACACTAGAGCTTGAAAATGCAATATTGGTAAAAATCAGTCTTTGCTTACTGGGGGAAAACAATAAAGTCAATATAGATGTAAATGAACAATTAAAACAGAGTAAACTTCTATAGCAGAGGGAATCACAGGCTACTATGGAACAAATGGAAGATACACTTGTCGAGAAGAGGAGATGTCAGACCAAATTTATCAGAAGAGACGATGCCTCAGTTGTGAGCCCTGTTACTGGAAGACAACTTATGTCCCAGTGGAATTTTTTCTTGTCACTCCTATAATTTACCTCTATCAAATTTATACATGCCTATATTTTAAACACAAATAGTTCTTGAAAGTTTATTCAGAAAAATAGGAATCACCTGTCTTCCCTCTCCCTCTCCATTTCAGGCTCCAAAAAGCAGCCACTTTCTTCACCTGTTTCCTTTCATATTTTATTGCTAAACATATGCATCAGAAAATGATTATGTAATCATTAAACCTAAGTTTGGTTAGGGCCTCAAAAAAACAACGGGGTCCTACAGCAACTATGTCTCCATGAAGACAATGCATTAACTGATTATGACCACACCAAAACACATACTTAGAAGTTTTTATTGTACACATAGCTCTTTAAGTGAATTTCCAATACTGTGTCAAAGACTAACTAGTTGTTTACCAATCCTATTTCACATTCCTGGAAACAGAGAAACTCTACATTTCCCAACCTCCCTTGAAATTAGATTGGGTCCTGAGAGTTCTGGTCAAGAGACTGTGGACAGAAATGATAAATGCCACTTACAGGCTTGGACTCTAACATGTATCATGAAATCCCCCACGAGGCCAGGATGAAAGGACTCCAAAACAGCAGTCATCCTGCAGTGAAAGAAATCAAAATTCTTGAGTCAACATTTAGAGGAGAGTCAACCTACATAGGACTTTCTATGAATGAAAATTATATTTTTATCCTTTTGAGTTTTGAAGATTTGAGAGTTTATTTTTTACCATATATAGTCCATCCAGCATGCCCTGACAACTGAGTCAGTCATAAAAACTCTGTGGAATATTCCACCAGGAGAGGGGTTAGTTGGTAAGTGGGGTGAAGGGGCAGGTCAACACAGAACAAATTACTTGCTCTCTCTAGCTCCCAAGAATCCTACCAAGAGAAAGCAGTTGATGGGTGAAGTCCACAGTCCTGTGCAGGTCCCCAAGCTGGAAGCTAACATTACGAGATCACCTAGGACCTGGACCTTAGAGATAGTGCCATACATCCCTGCATTCAGTTGCTTCAGCGCCTTTGCATCCAAAGCATTCAGTGGTGGAAGTCGCTGATGCTGTGACCAGTCTGGCCCAGTCTGAAACAATCACCAACACTCAGGGTTGAACGATACTTGGTCCCTAGAAATAATTAGAACAATGATACTCCAGGAAAAGAACATAAAGGGGTCAATAAAGAGATCATTCATTCCCATTCCATTCCCACTCCCTGAATATACCCAGTCTTTTCACCTGTTTCCTTTCAAAGTTTATCGCTAAGTACATGCTTCAGAAAATGATCAAATCATCTTTAGAATTATGTCTGGTTGGCAGGGGCACCTGGGTGGCTCAGTCAGTTAAGTGTCTGTCTTGGGCTCAGGTCATCATCTCAGGGTCCTGGGATAGAGCCCTGCTTCGGGGTCCCTGCTCAGGGGGGAGTCTGCTTGTCCCTCTCTCTCCCTCTGTGCTCTCTTTCTCTCAAATAAATAAATCAAATCTTAAAAAAAAGTAGAATTATGTTTGGTTAAGGTAAGGGATTTAGTTCCACATAAGACACTGAAATGAGCTCCCACAGACCAGTGTATTAGGGGGAATTTTATTTGTTTAAAAGGGTAGGGCGGTGTCCTCCTTGTAAAGGACTAGGAGTTAATCATTTCCTTTTTTTTTTTTTTTAAGATTTGATTTATTTATTTGACAGAGAGACAGAGAGAGAACACAAGTAGGTAGAGTGGTAGGCAGAAGGAGAGGGAGAAGCAGACTCCCCGCTGAGCAGGGAGCCTGACATGGGGCTTGATCCCAGGACCCTGGATCATAACCTGAGCCAAAGGCAGATGCTTAACTGACTGAGCCACCCAGGCACCTCATAATCATTTCTTTAGAATAAATAACATCTAAGGAAGGACCAGGTGAAAATGACTGAACAAAGCCATCATATGTGCATTCTAGACTACTTCAACTAGACACCTCAACATCAAGACCCTCCCACCTGGCCCCAAGGGACTGATGTAGGAAAAGGTGGCATAGGAAAAGGTTGGGTTTTGCAGCCAACAGCCAAGAAAGAGTTCTTGAGGCATCTTCAGTGCAAAAAGGTAGTTTTATTAAAGCACAGGGACAGGACCTGTGGGAGAAAGACCTGCACAGGGGTCATGAGGAGTGGCCCATTATATACTTTCAGGTTGGGAGGGGGTTAGGGATAGCGTAAGTCTCTAAGGAATTCTGCAAGCAAGGTTTCCAGGACCTAGAGGGGGCTAACTATTGTTAGGAAAAGGTCATTTATTACTGTCTAATAAAACCTTAGTCATGAGACCCTTCAGATGTATATTGGTGGGTCATATGCTTGGGGAATGAATGCCAACATATATCTTGGGGTGGGGGGTGGGGCAGGCGGGGCAGGGGGCAGGTAGAAATATAGGAAGTTTCCAAAGAATTTTTTTTTAAAGATTTTGTTTATTTATTTGAGAGAGAGAATGAGATAGAGAGAGCATGACAGGGGGGAGGGTCAGAGGGAGAAGCAGACTTCCTGCTGAGCAGAGAGCCCGATGCGGGACTCGATCCCGGGACTCCAGGATCATGACCTGAGCCGAAGGCAGTCGCCTAACCAACTGAGCCACCCAGGCGTCCCTCCAAAGAAATTTTTATATGTTAAAAAAGACTTACAGGATCATGGGGGTTGGGATAATGTTAAGCTAAGACTGCCTTTTACTTTTAGCAAAGTATTAACATCAAGGCAGCTGAGATCCTAGAGGAATGTCACTCTGCTTATTTCAAGGATTTGTCAATTGGCTGTAAGTAGTAAGGAAACTGAATTTTTCTTTTGCCTTTTTCCCACATCAGGATAATACCTGGGTCCTTGTCTTTGTTTTTACTGGTTCCCGGTTGCCTTAGAGGACATGTACACAATACCACAACCCTCAATAAAAATGCCCAGACCCCAAACAAGGATGAGGCTCTCTTTTTTCCTTTCTGAGTCTCCCAGACACTCTGTCTGTATCTGCACTCTCTCTATACCTTCAGTAAACTCTGCTTTCACCTCTTGCTGGTTCGTGTTTGATTTCTATCCTGTGTGCAACCAGGGACCCTCTAGGCGGGTCCTGGCCCTCTAGGCTGGATCCCCTCTGGGTCTGTGGTCCCAGCCTGCCAGCATGGGTCAGATGAAGAGAATAAGTATGAATCAGAAGACACTGGCAAGTTCTGATCCAAAACAATACAAAAATAAGACACCAATAAAGGCTAAGTTTGATGAAGCAAGGTACTGAAAGTACCAGAGCCATTCAGGCCTAACAGTTCAATTTTTCTTATATTTCCTAAAATCAGATCTCAGTTTCCTAGAACATGAAGCCTGCTTGCTTTTCATTTCCCAGATCCCCATGAAAGGCTCAGAGTCATGACAGAGCCACAAGACTAATATTCTAAAAGCAGCTTCTTTCTTTGTATTCCTTAAGTCCTACAGGATAAAATACTAAATTCTGAAGGCAAAAACAGCAATTATGAAGCAACTGTTCACAAAGGGAACCCATGGATATTGCTTACCTGGCAGGGCCCCCTTAGAAAGAGCCTTGAGATCCATTTTAAATGTGCACTGAAGAAGCAGGAGGGCCTTAGCAGCCCTAATCTCATCATCAATCATCATGGGGGCAGGGGAGCAGAGACGGGACACTTATGTCGTGACGGGTGCCTGGCAGTAAACTCTTTCACATACCAGAGAGGCAAAAAGCAAAAGAAAGAGAAAAAAAAATCACATGAGGGGAAGGAGCAAGATGGCGGAGGAGTAGAAGACCTAAATTTCATATGGTCGCAGGAATTCAGCTAGATAGTTATCAAACCATTTGGAACATCTACAAACTCAACAGGAAATAAAAGAAAAGAATAGCAGCAACTCTGAACAGAAAAGCGGACCACTTTCTGGAAGGTAGGACGTGTAGAGAAGTGAATCCGAGGCGATATTCGGGAAAACAGACTGGGGGGGGTAGGGAGCCTCCGTCAGCCAGCTATTAGCAAGTGATAGAGCAGCGGAGCACAAAATCGAAACTTTTAGAAGTCTGCTCCGCTGAGGGATGTCGCTCCAGTGGCTAAGCGGGGAGTGGAACCCTCGCTAGGACAGTGTAGTCTCAGGATCCTCAGGGTCACAGGAAGACCGGGAGTGCCTGAGTGCGGCAGAGCTCCCAGGTATCAGAGCGGGGAAGCCAGCTGCATAGACAGAGCTGAGGAATGGGCTCTCAGCTCGGGGTTGCCATGAACCGTGATCCGCGGCACAGTCAGGCCACTGCTCTTTGAGCAGGGACCCAACAAGTGGCAGATCTGGGGAGACTGCCCTTCCTCCCCCGGAAGGAACAGCGCAGGAGTGCACTGCAGGGACCTGCTGCATTTGGAGACTCCAAAAAGGGTCATGTGCCAGAGATAGAAATGCTTGGTCACAGGCCGGGTGAGCACGGAGTATGGCCAGAGACCAGGGAGACAGTAGTGATTGACTACTTTTCTCTGGGGCTCACTGAGGAATGGGGCCCTGAGTTCTCGGCTCCTCCAGGGCAGAGATTGGGAGGCCACCATTTTCACTCGCGTCCTCCAAAGTTGTAAGGAAAGCTTGCAGGGAACAAAAGTTACCAAGAGCAAACCCGAGCAGATTACTTAGCCTGACCCCTGGGGCAAGGGTGGGGCAATTACACCTCTGGCAAAGATGTCTGAGAACCACGGCAACAGGCCCCTTCCCCAGAAGATCAGCAAGACCATCCAGCCAAGACCAAATTTACTGATCAATGAGAATGGCAAAACTCCAGTGCCAGGGGAATACAGCACATAGAATTCATGGCTTTTTTCCCATGATGCTTTAGTGTTTCAAAGTTAATTTTTAAAATTTTCTTTTTCCTTTTCCTATTTTTTTAGTTGAAATTTTCTTCTTTCCTTTTTCAACCAACATCTTCTCAATTCCTTTTTTAAAATTGTTTTTAATTTTTCATTTTTACATTCATATTCTATCTTTTCATTGTATTTAACCTTATTTTTTGTGAATATATGTTTCTTTTTCTTTAAAATTCTGGGATACAGTTTCTTCTAACAGACCAAAATATACCCTAAATCTAGTTTATGACATTGTCCTAGTCTCCTGCCTGATCACATTTTTTTTTTAATTTTTTTTTCTTTTTTCAACCAACTTCTTACCAATTCCTTTTTTAAAATCTTTTTAAATTTTTATCTTTATAGTCATATTCCATCCCTTCATTGTATTTACCCTAATTTTTGTGTATATATATAAGTTTTTCTTTCTTTAAAATTTTGGGAGGCAATTTCTTCTAACAGACCAAAATACACCCAAAATCTAGTGTGTGGCTCTGTTATATTCACCAGCGTGATCATATTTTTTTTTCCCCTTTCTTTTCCCCCCAGTTTCGGGTCTCTTCTGGTTTGTTTAGTATAAATTTTTCTGGGGTCGTTGTTACCCTTTTAGCATTTTTTTTAGCATTTTGTTCTCTCATTCATCTATTCTCCTCTGGACAAAATGACAAGACGGAAAAACTCACCTCAAAAAAAAACACAAGAGGCAGTACTGACTGCCAGGGACCTAATCAACACAGACATTAGTAAGATGTCAGAACTAGAGTTTAGAATGACGATTATAAAGATACTAGCTGGGCTTGAAAAAAGCATAGAAGATACTAGAAAATCCCTTTCTGGAGAAATAAAAGTACTAAAATCTAACCAAGTCGAAATCAAAAAGGCTATTAATGAGGCACAATCAAAAATGGAGGCTCTAACTGCTAAGATAAATGAGGCAGAAGAGAGAATTAGTGATATAGAAGACCAAATGATGGAGAATAAAGAAACTGAGAAAAAGAGAGATAAACAACTACTGGATCACAAGGGGAGATTTTGAGAGATAAGTGATACCATAAAGTGAAACAACATTAGAATAATTGGGATCCCAGAAGAAGAAGAAAGAGAGAGAGGGGCAGAAGGTATGTTGGAAAAAATTATAGCAGGGAACTTCCCTAATTTGGGGAAGGAAACAGGCATCAAAATCCAGGAGGCACAGAGAAGCCCCCTCAAAATCAATAAAAATAGGTCAATACCCCAACATCTAATAGTAAAACTCACAAGTCTCAGAGACAAAGAGAAAATCTTGAAAGCAGCTCGGGACAAGAAGTCTGTAACCTAGAATGGTACAAACATTGGAGTGGCAGCAGACCTATCCACAGAGACCTGGCAGGCCAGAAAGGACTGACATGATATATTCAGAGCACTAAATGAGAAAAATATGCAGCCAAGAATACTATATCCATCTAGGCTGTCACTGAAATGAGAAGGAGAGAGAAAAATCTTCCACGACAAAAAAAATTAAAGAATTTGCAAACACCAAACCAGTCCTACAAGAAATATTGAAAGGGGTCCACTAAGCAAAGAAAGAGCCTAAAAGTAACATAGACCAGAAAGGAACAGAAACAATATACAGTAACAGTCAACTTACAGGCAATACAATGGCACTAAATTCATATCTTTCAATAGTTACCCTGAATGTAAATGGCTAAATGTCCCCAATCAAAAGACACAGGGTATCAGATTGGATAAAAAGAAACAAGACCCATCAATATGCTGTCTGCAAGAGACTGATCTTAGACCCAAAGACACTTCCAGATTTAAAATGAGGGGGTGGAAAACCATTTACCATGTTAATGGACATCAAAAGAAAGCTGGGGTGCAATCCTTATATCAGACAAATTAGATTTTAAATCAAAGACTATGAGAAACAAGGAAGGACACTACATCATACTTAAAGGGTCTATCCAACAAGAAGATCTAACAATTTTAAATATCTATGCCTCTAACATGGGAGCAGCCAGTTATATAAGCCAGTTAATAACAAAATCAAAGAAACACATCGACAACAATACAATAATAGTAGGGGACCTTAACACCCCCCTCACTCAAATGGACAGATCATCTAAGCAGAAAATCAACAAGGAAATAAAGGCTTTAAATGACACACTGGACCAGACGGACTTCACAGATATATTCAGAACATTCCATCCCAAAGCAACAGAATACACATTCTTCTCTAGTGCACATGGAACATTCTCCAGAATAGATCACATCCTGGGTCACAAATCAGATCTCAATGGGTACCAAAAGATTGGGATCATTCCCTGCATATTTTCAGACCACAGTGCTTTGAAACTAGAACTCAATCGCAAGAGGAAAGTCGGAAAGAACTCAAATACATGGAGGCTAAAAAGCATCCTACTAAAAAATGAATGGGTCAACTAGGAAATTAAAGAAGAATTTAAAAAATTCATGGAAACAAATGAAAATGAAAACACAACTGTTCAAAAACTTTGGGATGAAGCAAAGGCAGTCCTAAGAGGAAAGTATATAGCAATACAAGCCTTTCTCAAGAAACAAGAAAGGTCTCAAATACACAACCTAACCCTACACCTAAAGGACCTGGAGAAAGAATCACAAATGAAACCTAAACCCAGCAGGAGAAGAGAAATAATGAAGATCAGAACAGAAATCAATGAAATAGAAACCAAAAGAACAGTAGAACAGATCAATGAAACTAGGAGCTGGTTCTTTGAAAGAATTAATAAGATTGATAAACCCCTGGCCAGACTTATCAAAAAGAAAAGAGAAAGGACCCAAATAAATAAAATCATCAATGAAAGAGGAGAGATCATAACCAACACCAAAGCAATACAAACAATTATCAGAACATATTATGAGCAACTGTATGCCAGCAAATTAGATAATCTGGAAGAAATGGATGCACTCCTAGGGGCATATAAATTACCAAAACTGAACCAGGAAGAAATAGAAAACCTGAACAGACACATAACCACTAAGGAAATTGAAGCAGTCATCAAAAATCTCCCAACTAACAACAGCCCAGGGTTTCCCAGGGGAATTCTACCAAACATTTAAAGAAGAATTAATACCTATTCTTCTGAAGCTGTTTCAAAAAATAGAAATGGAAAAAAAATAGAAATGGAAGGAAAACTGCTTATGAGGCCAGCATTACCTCAATCCCAAAGCCAAAGACCCCATCAAAAAGGAGAACTATAGACCAATATTCCTGATGAACATGGATGCAAAATTCTCACCAAAATACTAGCCAATAGGATCCAACAGTACATTAAGAGGATTATTCACCACGACCAAGTGCGATTTATTCCTGGGCTGCAAGGTTGGTTCAACATCCGCAAATCAATCAATGTGATACAATACATTAATAAAAGAAAGAACAAGAACCACATGATCCTCCCAAGAGATGCAGAGAAAGCATTTGACAAAGTACAGCATTAAAACTCTTCAGAGTGTAGGGATAGAGAGTACATACCTCAGTACCATAAAAGCCATCTATGAAAAACCCACAGAGAATATCATTCTCAATGGGGAAAAACTGAGTGCTTTTCCCCTAAGGTCAGGAACACAGCAGGGATGTCCACTATCACCACTGCTGTCCAACACAGTATTAGAAGTCCTAGCCTCAGCAATCAGACAACAAAAACAAACAAAAGGCATCCGAATCAGCAAAGAAGAGGTCAAACTCTCACTCTTTACAGATGATATGATACTTTATGTGGAAAACCCAAAAGACTCCACCGCAAAACTGCTAGAACTCATACAGGAATTCAGCAAAGTGGCAGGATATAAAATCAATGCACAGAAATCAGTTGCATTTCTACACACCAGCAACAAGACAGAAGAAAGAGAAATTAAGGAGTTGATCACATTTACAACTGCACGCAAAACCACAAGCTACCTGGGAATAAATCTAAACAAAGAGGCAAAGAATCTATACTCAGGAAACTATAGAATACTCATGAAAGAAATTGAGGAAGACACAAAGAAATGGAAAAACATTCCATGCTCATGGACTGGAAGAACAAATATTGTGAAAATGTCTATGCTACCTAGAGCAACCTACACATTTAATGCAATCCCTATCATAATACCATCAACTTATTTCAGAGAAATGGAACAAATAATCCTAAAACCTGTATGGAACCAGAAAAGACCCCGAATAGCCAAAGGAATGTTGAAAAAGAAAAGCAAAGCTGGTGGCATCACAATTCCAGACTTCAAGCTCTATTACAAAGCTGTCATCATCAAGACAGTATGGTACTGGCACAAAAACAGACATATAGATCAATGGAACAGAACAGAGAGCCCAGAAATGGACCCTCAACTCTATGGTCAACTAATCTTCGACAAAGCAGAAAAGAATGTCCAATGGAAAAAAGACAGTCTCTTAAAAAAAAAGAAAAAGAAAAAAGTCTCTTCAACAAATGGTGTTGGGAAATTGGACAGCCACATGCAGAAGAATCAAACTGGACCATTTCCTTACACCACACACAAAAATAGGCTCAAAATGGATGAAAGACCTCAATGTGAGACAGGAATCCATCAAAATCCTTGAGGAGAACACAGGCAGCAACCTCTTCAACCTCAGCCACAGCAACTTCTTCCTAGACCCATTGCCAAAGGCAAGGGAAGCAAGGGCAAAAATGAACTATTGGGGCTTCATTGAGATAGAAAGCTTTTGCACAGCAAAGGAAACAGTCAACAAAACCAAAAGACAACTGACAGAAGGGGAGAAGATTATTTGCAAATGACGTATCAGTTAAAGGGCTAGTATCCAAAATCTATAAGGAACTTATCAAACTCAACATCCAAAGAACAAATAATCCAATCAAGAAATAGAGAGAAAACATGAACAGAAAAGAAGACAACCCCAAATGTCCAACAGACACATGAAAAAGTCCTCAACATAGCTCGGCATCAGGGAAATACAAATCAAAATCTCAATGAGATACCACCTCACACCATTCAGAATGACTAAAATTAACAGTCAGGAAACAACAGATGTTGGCGAGGATGCGGAGAAAGGGGAAGCCTCCTACACTGTTGGTGGGAATGCAAGCTGGTGCAGCCACTCTGGAAAACAGTATAGAGGTTCCTCAAAAAGTTAAAAATAGAGCTATCGCACGACCCAGCAATTGCACTACTGGGTATTTACCCCAAAGATACAAATGTAGTGATCCAAAGGGGCACTGGCCCCCAGTGTTTATAGCAGCAACTATGGAAAGAGCCTAGATGTCCATCAACAGATGAATGGATAAAGAAGATGTGGTATATATATAATGGAATATTATGCAGCCATCAAAAAAATGAAATCTTGCCAATTGCAATGACGTGGATGGAACTAGAGGGTATTATGTTATGTGAAATAAGTCAATCAGAGAAAGACAAGTGTCACAGGATCTCACTGATAGGAGGAATTTGTGAAACAAGACAGAGGATCATAGGGGAAGGAAGGGAAAAATGAAACAGGACGAAACCAGAGAGGGAGACAAACCATAAGAGACTCTTAATCTCAGGAAACAAACTGAGGGCTGCTGGAGTGGAGAGGGGTGGGAGGGATGGGGTGGCTGGGTGATGGACATTGGGGAGGGTATGTGCTATGGTGAGCGCTGTGAATTGTGTAAGACTGATGAATCACAGACCTGTACTCCTGAAACAAATAATATATGTTAATAAAAATAAATAAATAAATCACATGAAATTAAAAGGAAATAAATCAAGTAAAGAAGAGACTAGAGCATACTATCTGATCTCAATGCAATCTACTTTTCACAAAGCTAAAATCATCTGGAAATAGAGGGAATGGCGAAGCTGCAGCAATGACTCTCTCAAACTATGCTGTCTAGTTCATTAACTATTGACCACATGTGACAATTAAAATGTAAATATATTAAAATTAAATTAAATTTAAAACTTAGTCTCTTTGTCATAGTACTGACATTTCAAATGCTCAATAGCCAGAGATGGCTAATGACTACTAAGTTAACTAACAAATATAGAATATAGCCAACATCACAGAAAGTTGTATTATACTGTATTGCTCTAAAAAGAAATACTGTGGAAGCAAAGAATAATTATCAAGAAACTTTTAGTTAAATAATTCTCAGCATTACACAATGCAGGAAATCACTTGATCATCCCCCCATCAAATGGAGAAAATGTGCTCAATATATGGACACTCAGTAAAGATGCCACCAAAAACAGACCATGCAAGAAGGGTTAAAAAATCAATAAAATACATATTCTAGATCCCCTATAACAAAAGTTAACAGCAAACTTTAAAGGGATAAACTGACCTATAATTTAAATACTTGGTAGAATAAAATAAAACACTCTTTAAAACAATACCACAAAATCCAATGTAAAATTCACAATTCTGGCATCCAATAAAAAATCATCAGACATGGGACGAAATCAGGAAAACACAGACCATAATCAGGAGAAAAAAAATCAATCCAAAGAAACAGACCTGATAATGACAGATGATGAACAAAGACTTTAAGAAAGCTATTATAAATACAATTAAAAAGTACAAGGATATAAAGAAAAACTTGAACACAATTAGGAGAGAAATAGATATTATTTAAAAAAGAACTAAGTGGAACTTCTAGAGATCAAAAATGCAGTATCTGCATAAAATTACCACTAGGTGAGATTAGTAACATGTCAGACACTGCAGGGGAAAACATCAGTGAATGAAAACAGCAACAGAAACATTCCAAATTTTAGAGGCACTTGGGTGGCTCAGTTGGTTAAGCGACTGCCTTCGGCTCAGGTCATGACTCTGGAGTCCCAGGTGGAGTCCAGCATCGGGCTCCCTGCTCAGCAGGGAGTCTGCTTCTCCCTCTGACCCTCCTCCCTCTCATGCTCTCTATCATTCTCTCTCTCTCTCAATAAATAAATAAAAATCTTAAAAAAAAAAAAAAAGAAACATTCCAAATTTTAAAAGAGAGGTTATTTTTAAAAAAACACCAAAAATAAAGGAACAAAGCCTTGGTGACCTGTGGGAGAATATAAAGCAGTCTAATACATATGCAGTTAAATTCCCAGAAACAGAAGAGAGGGAATGAGAGAAGTGAAAAAGTGTAGAAGTGATTTTCGAAATTTTTCAAAAAGATAAAAACTATACAAATTCAAGAGGATCAAAGAATCCACATATAATAAACACAAAGAAAACCACACTAAGGCACATCATAACCAAATTACTTTTACAAAAACAGAGCTGAAGATGAAATTATTATATTCAGAGGAGCAAAGTCAAAAATGACAACAGATAGCTCACTGGGACCATGAAAGTATGCAGTCAAAAGAAATGGAAATAACACCTTTAGGCGCACCTGGGTGGCTGGGTTGCTAAAGCGTCCAACTCTTCCTTTTGGCTCAGGTCATGATCTCAGGGTCCTGGGATTGAGCCCCACATGAGGCTTCTTGCTCAGCAGGAAGTCTGCTTCTCCCTCTCCCTCTGCCCCTCCCCTTGCATGGGCTCTCTCTCTCAAACAAATAAATAAACCTTAAAAAAAAAAAAAAGAAAGAAAGAACACCTTTAAATTGTTGAGAGAAAAAAGGCCCACCTTGAATTTTATACAAAAGATCTTTGAAAAATAAAGGTGAAATGAAGATCTTTAAGACAAAGAGAAGTTAAAAGTGCTCATCACCAGACCTCCACTACAAGAAAAGTAAAGTTCTTTAGGCAGAAAGAAAATCATACCAAATGGAAACTTGTATATACACAAAAAAATAGAGTGCTATAAATGGTAATTATGTGATTAAATATAAGAAAGATTTTTCATTATTTAATTTCTTTTAAAAATGACTATTTAAAGCAAAAATAATAGCAAGATACTGTGTGGTCCATAATGTATGCCCAAGAAAAATGTTTTACTGTAACAGCAAAAAGGAAAAGAATGAAAAAATGGAGGCATAGTGTTATAGAAGGCTTTCATATTTATGTAAAGAGGTATAATATTATGTAAAGGCCAACTGATAAGATAAAGATGCATGCTGTAAACCTCAAAGCAACCATTACAAAAATAAGACAAAAAATCAGAGCTAATAAACCAACAGTGGGGATAAAATAAATTAATAAAAATACTCTGTTAATTCAAAATGAGATAGAAAAAAAGGAGAAAGGGAAAAAAGAAGATAATAAGAAAAAGGAATAGTAAGATGGTAGATTTAAACCAAAATATTTAGATACTTAATGTAAATGGTCTAACCCCAATTAAAAGGCAGAGATAATAAAACTGGATAAAAGAGCAGAACCCATCTCACTACTGTTGTATTAGGGATATCAAGACCACCTACAGGTACAAGTTCAATGATTCACTAGGAAGATTTACATGTCTTGCTGTACAGGTGTACTCATAAATATCATTTGTTACAGTAAAAGAATACAAAACAGAATCAGCAAAGAAAAAAGGAGCATGGAAAAAAGTCTGGAGGAAATCAGGTGCAAACTTCCAAGAGGTGTGGAGTCACACAAGAAGCATTTAATTCTTCACAATTGCTACAAATCATATGAAATATTGTCTACCAAGGAAGTTCATTAGAGACCAGTGCCAAAGGTTTTCACTATATATTGGTTGCTTACCAGCTCTGCCTAACCCATACCATAAGAGACTCTGAGAGGATGGCAGGCATTCAGTATAATCCATTGTTTGCAGTTTAGGCACAGTGAGTCACAACTATCACAGAGTGGTAGGAGGTTCCACTCAAAGGTCAACTTTACAAGCAGACCTTCCTAAGAAGAGTGGTCTCAGACCTGCCATGTTAACTCTTTTCTGCCTATCTGTCCATAAGAAAAGCATTAAACGTAATGGCACAGATAGGTTAAAAGTAGGATGAAAAAAGATATGCCATGCAAAAACTAATCACTGACTATATTGACATCAAACAAAGTATAGAGTTAAAATAAAGTAATATTGCCATGGATAAAGAAGGATATTTCATAAATAAAAAGGGAGAAATTAATCAAGGAGTTTTAACAATCCTAAATGTTCATGTGCTAAATAACATAGCTTCAGGAAAAACAACAACTGAGGAACAAACCAACAGAACTAAAAAGGGAAATATAGAATCCACAATTATAGTTGCATATTTCAAAATGTTCTCTTAGTAACTGATACAACAAAAAGACAGTAAATCAGTATGAATATAGAAAAATTGAGCAACACTATCAAAAAGTTTAACCTTCTAACATAAAATACTCCACCTAAGAAGAACAAAATTAGAATTATTTTCAAGTGCAAATGAAACATTAATTAAAACCATATACTTGGACATAAAACAAGTCTCAATAAATATCAGTACATTGAAATCATATAGAGAATGCTCTTTGACTACAATGGAGTTAAATTAAAAAGTGATAATATAAAGATATCTAAAAATACAGGCGCCTGGGTGGCTCAGTCGTTAAGCGTCTGCCTTCGGCTCAGGTCATGATCCTGGAGTCCTGGGATCGAGTCCCACATCGGGCTCCCTGCTCGGCGGGAAGTCTGCTTCTCCCTCTCCCACTTCCCCTGCTTGTGTTCCTGCTCTCTCTATCTCTCTCTCTGTCAAATAAATAAAATATTTAAAAAAAAAAAAGATATCTAAAAATAACCTCAGGATGCCTAGGTGGCTCAGTCAGTTAAGCGTACAACTCTTGATTTTGGCTCAGGTCATGATCTCAGGGCGGTGGAATTGAGCCCTGCAGGATTGAGCCCCATATGGGGCTCAGCCATGGAAACTGCATAAGATTCTCTCTCTTTCCCTCTGCCCCTCCCCGCCCTTCTGGTGCATGTTCTCTCTCTTTAAAAAAAAAAAAAAAAAAAGCCCAAATTTAGAAAATGTAACATTTCTAAATTAACTTAGAGTCAAAGAAGAAATCACGAGAGATATTATAAAATACTTTTGAGTTATATGGATATACAACCTATGCAAATTTGTGGGATGCAGCTAAAGCAATGCTCAGAGAGAATTTTATGGTTTTTGATGCTTATATTAGAAAGTAAGAAATGTCAAAAATCAGTGATGCAATCTTCCCCTCTAGGAAGCTAGAAACAAAAGAAAATACTGAACCCAGAATAAGTAGAAGGGAATAAATAAGGTGAGAGCAGAAAACTGACAAATAATACCAAAGAAGTCAATGAAACCAAAAGATGGTTCTTCAAAAAGAATCAATACAATTAATAAACTTCTAGCTAAGCTGATAAAAAATACTGGAAGAAAAAAATTGCCAATATCAGGAATGTAAGTATCACTATAGATTCCCACATAACATTAAAAAAACAATGAGATTATAAACAACTTTATATCAATAAATAGGACAATTTATATAAAATGCACAAATCACCTGAAGAACACAAATGACAAAAACCGAGTAAAATAAAGAAAATCCTAAGACCAATATTTATTGACAAAATTGAATTTGTAATTTAAAACTTTGACATACATGAAAATATATCAAATATATAAGTAGAAATAATTCAATCCTATAAAAATGAAGGGGGGGAAATTGGAGGGGGAGACGAACCATGAGTGACTATGGACTCAGAAACAAACTGAGGGTTCTAGAGGGCAGGGGGGTGAGGGGATGAGTTAGTCTGGTGATGGGTATTAAAGAAGGCACGTATTGAATGAAGCACTGGGTGTTATACACAAACAATGAATCATGGAACACTACATCAAAAACTAATGATGTAATGTATGGTGATTAACATAACATAATAAAATTTTTAAAAATGCAAAAAAAACAACAACTCTTAGATAACAGAAGAGAGACATCCCAACTTTTTTTTTTTTTGCATGTAGATATCCAGTTGTTCCAGCACCATTTGTTGAAAACTATTCTTTCTCAATTGAATTGCCTTTGCTCCTTTGTTAAAGATCAGTTTTATGTGGGCCAATTCTGGGCTCTCTATTTTATTGCACTGAATATTTGTCTTTCACCAATACCACCAATACTGGGGGAAAGCATCTAGTAACTCACCAGTTTGATGCTACCTGTAGGTTTTTCCCAGATGTTCTTGGTCCAGTTGAGGAAGTTTCTCTCTATTCCTAGTTTTAGGAGTTTTGTTTGTTTTCTTTTTTTTTTTAAATCATGAATGAGTGCTGAATTTCGTCAAATGTTTTTTCTGCATCTGTTAAATGGTATCGTTTTTCTTCCTTAACCTGTTGATGTAATGGAGTACCTTGAGCTGATTTTTGAGTGTTGAACCAGTCTTACATTTCCTGGAATAAATCCCACTTGGTCATGGTGTATAATTATTTTTTTACCTTGCTGAATTCAATTTGCTAAAATTTATTTGCTAAACATTTTTGCATCTATGTTCATGAGAAATATTGTTTGTAGTTCTCCTTTCTTATAATGCCTTTTTCTGGTTTTGGTATTATAGTAATGCTGTCCTCATAAAATAAGTTAGGAAATGCTTCCTCTGTCTCTATCTTCTGGAAGATATTGTAGAGAATTGGTATTTCTTTTTCAAAAGTTTGGTAGAATTCACAGTAAACCCATCTGGGCCTGGTGCTTTCTGTTTTGAAGGTTATTAATTGCTAATTCAATTTGCTTTAATATACATAAGGCCCTTCTTTATCACTGATAATTTTTCTTTGCTCTGAAATCTGCTTTGTCTGAAATTAATAGAACTACTTCAGCTTCTTTTTTTTTATTTTTTGAGGTTTTTATTTAAGTAATCTCTGTACCCAATGTGAGGCTTGAACTCATGACCCTGAGATCAAGAGTCACATGCTTTTCCAACTGAGCCAGCCAGTGCCTGCTTCAGCTTCCTTTTGATTAGTGTTAGTTTCGTATGTCCTTCTCTGACATATTACTTTTAATCTATATGTGTCTTTGTATTTACAACAGGTTTCTCACAAACAAAATGTGGTTGGGTCTTGTTTGTTTGTTTGTATTTTTAAATCCACCTTGATAATAACTATCTTTTAATTGGTGAATTTTGATTATTCACATTTAAAGTGTTTTTAATATATTGGATTAATACATACTATATTTGTTATTCTATTCAATGCCCTTGTTCTTTGTTTCTTTGTCTTCCAAACTTTTTCTGCCTTCTCTGGAATTAATTGAGCATTTTATATGATTCCATTTTTTATCTCCTATTAGCATATCACTTATATATCTTTTTAAAAACTTTCAGTGGTTGCCTGAGAGTTTGCCAGTAATCCAAGTCCACCTGTAAGAAACACTCTACAGCTTCATGGCTAGTATGTGTACCTCATAACAGAGTATTCCCAATTTCTCCTTCTCATCCCTTATGACATTGCTGTCATTCATTTCACTTATGCATAAACTATAATCACATAATACATATTGCTGCTACTATTATTTTGAACAAACTGTTATCTGTTAGACCAGGTGTAAGTAAGACAAGTAAAAGAAATTATTTTGGAAAAAAAATTATTTTGCCTTCATTAATTTCTCAAAGACTCTTCCTTTTCTTTACACAGATCCAAATTTCTGACCTGTATCATTTTCCT